TATATATATATATATATAATAGTGTCAAAGAGCTCTGAATATTGTGACGTTACTTTATAAAGTAATGTTGACTCTTGCTAGAGATAGAAGTGTATTCATGATATCTGAAACAGGTTACATTTACATATTTTATTTTTATGCAGCCACCCCTGAAGCAAAAGGTTTAATTTCCTTCTGCTCAAACAGGTGTTACAAAAACCCAGTTACCTTTCAGGCTCATCCAGCCTGTTCCACTTGCTGATTGTCAAGAGTTGCATATCTCCCTTTTGTAATGTAAAGGGGGAATTCAGACTATTGTGTGAGTCAGATAAAGTCAGTTTCTGTGTTCTCTGATGTATTTTGATCGTTTTCTTATATCCTTTTGCAAGCAAATTACTTGTTTCACTTTATTCATCTTTGTTGTGTAACGAGTAAAGGGTGTTAAACATTGCTACTCTTGTTTGATATAATTTTTAAATGTAAGTCAATTGTCTTTTACACTTTAATGTTATCATCTGTAAGGGAATCCACTGTGATTACACTTCTAAAGTGCAAAAAAAATTGTCCTGCTGTTTTCAATGCCATTAGTGTCTCAGTTTTGTATTTGAAAAAAGTGTGAAGAGAAGAGCGTGTGTGAAAGGGATGTAACGGTTCTGTGGTGAATAAAAAGTAACCTCATATTTCAAAGCAGTGTCCTGTGATTTCTACTGTGTTGCACCAAACCCTGAAACTCACATGAAACCGTGCGTGTGCCGCTCCTGGCTAAATGTTCCTGAGCAATTTCCGATTGGACATGGTTTTCTGTATGAATTAACGCATGTCTAACCACTTGGTGGAGGTCATTTCTCTTGGTGTGCATAAGTTCCTTTGTGTTCTCTAAAGAAATGTGTTCTGAATAATAATTGGATAGTGACTGCGTCAGGCCTGTAGAAGAGACAACAATGAACCCCAAACGTAGAGCCTGTCTAACACATTACTGTATGAGCTCTTACTGTCTTGAATGTGAGATTAATTCATCAGAAATTAGACATGGTAGAAGACAAAGTTGACATAAAATTCCACATGTCCATTTAACATCTCAGCCTGCAGAGGCTGGTATTTGCTATCTCTGTCTTGAGGGCGGCTGCCCCATCGTGCTCCTTGCTGGTGGAACCCAGCTTATCCGGTTAGACCAGCATGGGCCTCATTCCTCCCTGAATGAAAGACTTGTATGAACCTAGCCCAAAACACTATATAAAGAGCTCTCAGCTCTGCAGTCAGTCAGTCTGGGCTGGGATGACACCAAGGAGACACCACCGCACAAGGACAGCTCTCACCTCCTCTGGGTAAGCACTCTTGACATACAGCTTGTAGTTTTTTTCTGAGGCCTTCTGCTTGTTTTTGTAGATTTGTTCTGTAAGGTGTAAGGGTCTGGAATCTGCTGCGGTGATGCGTTTACTGCCCACAGATCGTTTCAGTAGACTAATTCTAGCTGCTGTTTTTTTTTTCTTTCACTAGTGGAATCAACAGTTTGAAGGACGGACTTTGCCCTGAAGAAGTGTGTGGTCTCTCTGATTAAGTGGTTCTCAACAGTTCAACAGTTCTTTGAGAAAATTGTGAAATGTTTAGGACCACTTGACCAGTCAGACAAATGCTGTCAGCTTGGGGAAAATACTGCCTTTGAATGGATCTTTTAAAAAAAAAGGCAAGCATCTTTTAAGGCATGACTTTTAGAATGATTTTAATTCAGTTGTGTGATTTTCTCTCCTTTTTTTGTTTCCTTAATGTCTCTGTCTTCTACTCCCATTGTGCCCCCTTGTGTTGCAAAGCCAACTGCAGTCCAGGAACTGCAGGGGGCTGTAAAAAATCATCAGGCTTCAGTAATTTCATTCTGTTGGCACACATACAGATTTTTAACAGCTCTGCTGTTGCAGTAATACCGTCATTTTTTTTTATTTTTTTTTTGCTACTTTACTGTTCATATTATTATATTATATATATTCAGAAGTACTGATTAAAAAAAGTCAAAAAGAATCATTTGTCTCTGTTGAGTCCGTGTGGGATGATGGACAGTGAGTCTGCAGGGAGGGATGGTCGCTGTCCAAAGTACTGAAACTTGCTGCTATACGGTAAATATCGCCAAATCACTGCATCTGCTGTCATTTTCCATACAACCTAACAAACCAGAGAAGATTTGGGTTTTTCTAGGGGGTCAATGTAGGTAAACAATTAGACGTGTGAACTATTCCTGCTTTTATTTTTCCCTGTTACACTGATTAAACCACTCATCAGACTCAGTTAGACTATAAATACCTTAATTAAATTCTAAACACACACATTTCTGTACTAGTTTGGTGGGAAAATCTGACCTAAAGACTCAAAAACCTGACACAACTCGAGGAAAGAAAACCCGAACGCCTTTCCCCTCAAGGTATAGGCTACTTTATACTGCATAAATGATTCATGAAAGCACTGTGCGCCGATTATTCCCCCTTCTCCTTTCAGACAGCCCCCTTCTCCTTCTCCCTCCTTTGATCTCCTCCATGCGCCAAGAAACTATCAATATTTGCTAAACGTTTCTCACAAAGCCTTGTCCGTGCACCGGGAGAAGCTGCAGAGGTCTCGCAGGCGAGGGGATAAGACATAGGAGAGGCTTTAATGAGATGCCCAGAGCGATTTCCCTGTGCGTGCGCAAGGGCGGCAGCAGATGTAGCGGCACACACAGTCCCAGGGGACCCCCCCCCCCCCCTTCTCGGAATTTCATCAGCGTCCAGGGGACACCCAACCCAGACCTCTTCCAGCGGGGAGAGCTGGGTGACGGACGTGGTAAATCATCTTTACTATGGATTGTAATTATCGGGTTTGCTGACAAGGCCCCCCCCCCTTCCCTTCCTCCCTCCCCACTCCACGTGCAAAAAGTGTGTGTGTGCCTGTATCCATGTGGGGTGATGAGTCGCGTGGTTTGCCAGGTGTTTGTGTTGGGATCAAAAATAATTTATTCATCCCTAGAATATTTATTATCCCCCCCTCTGCTCAGCTGTAGCATCACTGTTGCATGAAAGTCTAAATCTTGGGGGTTTTAATCTTCTCTAAACTGCTGAAAAATAAAAAACTTGTAAAAGGGCCCCCCCAAACTTTTCTCCCTGTCCCCTGTGCAACACTGATCAGATCCGACATATTACTCTCCTACTGCACACATGAATTTATTTATTTCATTCATATATTTATTTATGCAGTTTAAATCAAACTTTTTGAGTCAGAAGTGTCAAATGATTAAAGAAAGAATCCACCCTGAATATAATTTCCCCTTAGCGATTCCACTGTATTTGTTCAGTTAAAGCAGCCCTCCACTGATTGTACACTTCAAGATCAGCTTACCAGTCATAATTACTAATAAAATCTGAAATATTAACCACATTGCACGTTGCATTATGGGAAATGTAGGATACAGTGTTTTTGAAGCTTGGCACACACTGGGCAGGATGTCTCAC